ATGCGCTCCTCCGAGGGGGGCTGCACCGACTTCCGGCTGATCTTGGACTTGAAGAGGGTGTTGATTAAGGTGGACTTCCCCAGGCCGCTCTGCCCTGGGAGGAGAACCGGAGGTAGGTTGGCAGGCTCTCTGGGGGACGGTTCCCAGCACGGGACGCAGGGACGCCAGGCTCACAGCACCTGCAGCGTCCCTGCCGAGTGGGCGGGAATTCCTCCTTCCCAGAGTGTCCAGTGACACGTGAACCCCAGAGTGTCCAGTGACACGCGAACCCCAGAGTGTCCAGTGACACGCGAACCCCAGAGTGTCCAGTGACATGTGAACCCCCACAGCCGGGCTCCAGGGCCTAGTCAAACTCAGCCAGAGTGCCTTCCCGAGAGGTGGCCACCCAGGCCCCGAGAGGGTCCAGGGAGGCCTCACCAAATACAGAATGCCAAGGCCCAGAGGTAGGTAGAGGCCGGTGCACACCGACCTGGGCAGGTGGCTCCCCAGGACAGAGGGGAAGCCCACCAGACTTGTGCTTGGTTAGGCCTGAGCTTGGGGTGCACTTCCCAGACCCCTCCTGCTGCCCCATGAAGCAGCAGGGCCCCGTGCTGACATGGGCTTGTTTCCACCTGAGAAGCCGGGCAACCCCCACCGGGCTCCTGGGAGACCCCACGGAGCCCCAAGCCCTCAGGAACAAGAGGCCACCCATCACACCCAGCCTGCACCCTGCTGGGGTCCCCCGATCAGTGACCTTCCCCCGGTGACACTGGTTTTTATAGCCCCCACACCTCACTCCCCAGGCAGGCTGTCAGACAGGCCACTGGGAAGCCTCCAGCCAGGGGACAGGCAGCAGAGCCACCGCTCACCCCTCTTACCAGGGCTCTTAATGGAGGGAGCTGGCGGGAGCTGGGGCCTCCTCCCAGACACCCGTGCACACACAAGGCCACTGGCCAGAGCTGCCACCACTTTACAGAGGGACGCGTGGGGCCCGGGCTGGTGCGCCTGGCCCATGTGCGGGCTGGCGGGGTCCCGCGTGGGCCTGGGGCGACGGGCGGGCGCGGGACTCACCCACCACCATGATGTTGAACTCGAAGCCCTGCTTCATGGCCTTCCTCCGCATCTGCTCCAGGATGGAGTCGATGCCCACGTAGCCGAACTCCACGGGGGCCTTCTCGTTCCGCGTGGCCGCGGCCTGCTTGAGGGCGGCATCCCTGGAGGAGTCGGCCATGTTGCCAGCGCTGCCGGGAGCTGCCTCGGGGACTGAGGAGAGCAGAGGTGTCGGTGCTGGGGTGTCCCCAGGCCTCCCACCCCCAGGCCTGTTCTCAGACGAAAACCGAGGCTCAGAGAGGCCAGCCCTTGTCCCAGTGTCACCCACAGGCCACAGCCAGCTCTTGGCATTCAGGCATCCCCCCCGCCCCTGCCCACTGTGCCAAATGGGGCCTCCCCTGCCGCCAGGCACCAGGCAGCAAGCACCTGGTCCCCTCTCCGTGGCCTCAGGCTTTGGGACCCCTGGGGGTCCTCTGGGCAACAGAGGGTCAGCATTGCTCCGTCCTGGCCTGGCCTCGTGAAGGTGTGTCCACTCTGGGTACCCACCAGCAGCCCAGGGGTGGGGTGGGATGCGGTGGCAGAGTGCCCAGGGCTGCCTGCGCCTGCCCCCACCTGGCCCAGGTGACCACCCAGGTAGTGCCTGGCCCTAGGTGCTCCTCACCCACAGGTCAGACAGGCCTCTCTGTGTAAGAGTCCATTCTGTGGGTCAGAGGCTGGGGTCGGGGAGGACGCCTGAAGGTGGTCACTGGGCACCCCAGGAGCTCACAGCCAGCGGGGGTGTGCAGGGCTGTCCACTTCAGACACACCCCATCACAGGTGGGCAGGCGTGGGGGGTGCCTACCAGGTGAGACACCCTCTACCCACTGCGTAGCACTGCCCTGGCACCCAGCTCCGGCTGCCCTAGGTCCCCTTCCCTGACCGAGCTGGTTCAGGGACTGCCCACCCCCTCAGGGCACTGAGGAGGACAATCTGCCCAGTCCTTCTTCCCAGGGAAGGCCCAGCTCCCCCCCGCTCTTTCCAGAGCACCCTGGGCTCAAAGGAAAGGACCACACGGCCCATCTGATGCCTCCTCCCCCAGGACACCAGGACGCTGTCCAGGGGTGGCCACAGGGAAGACAGAGGGGACAGGCTTCCAGGACTGAGGGACACGAGCAGGCTTTGGTTAAACTGTCCTTCAGCCAACCTCACCCACTGGGCTGAGCCCCCACGTCCCCAGCTACAAGCTCTGCGGCCAGCATCTCTTCCCCCGCCCTCCCCAGGCCACCATGGGGAAGAGACGGAGGACGAGTGGCTTCCCAAGTCAGTCCAGGAAGGGGGCGTGAGCGGTCCTCCTCACAAGCAGGTCCTTCCCTGACTCTCAGCCTCCGCTGGGCCCCATAATCGACTTCGCGGAATCAAGCAGGACACAAGGAAAGAGCAGAATGCATGTCAGACTGCCAGGAGCTGCTGTGGGCCACCATCTCCATTCCCAAGCACCATCCCCAACAAAGGAGCCCCTGGAGCCACGCTGCTGCCCCAGCCCCGGGCGCCAGGCTGCCTGTGCCCACCCTGGCCAGGGGGCCAGGGAAAAGCCCGGAGGCTTCCAGCAGGGGCTTCTGCTCCCTGCTCAGAAAGGTCCTCCTGGGCTTCCAGGATCTTTAAATAAACAAAGACTCGGCTGCATCTGGCCCCAGAACCTGTGGCTTTGGGCTGCTTCCTGGAGACGGCCGTGGGGACTGCCTGGTGGGGCAGCCCTGCAGCCTCGCCCACGTGACTCGAAATTGCTTCCATCTGTCTGTGGGTCTGGGAGCCATTTTGCCCAGACGGGGGCCAGCCCCCACCCCACGGCCCCCTCGCTGGCAGTGCGCCGGGGGAGGGTGCCCCCTGAACTCTCCCGCTGCGGCGAGGAAGGGTCTTCCCGGGCTCCAGCGGGCCCCCTCCACAGGCACCAACGTCCTCTGCAGAAATTCAGACCAAGCCAAACATCCTGCCCACCAGGGTCCCGCTGAGAAATAATAATAAAAGCAAGAAAGAGCCCCAGCTCCCTCTGGGGGAAGCCTCTGGCCTGCACACTCCTGCAGCCCCCTCCTCGGCAGCATCCTCCGCCAGAGGCGCCCAGGAGGGCCCCTCCCCCACACCTGCCTGGCTAGGGGGAAACGCTGGCCCTGGGACACTCCAGGAACGGCACCCTCGCTCTTGGGGTGCTGGAGCAGGCTGGACGGGGGCGGAGTCCACCCACCCATGGCCGGTGCTCACCACCACTCTGGGCCCACCTGGTGCAACACCAGGCAATACGGAGCCACGACTTAGAAGGGGTGAAGTCTGCCAACCTAACCAGGGTCGAGAGCAACTCACCTGAACAGGACCCTGTGTCCATGAGACAACAGCTGCCCACTCCCGCAGCCCCTGGACCCCCACCCCTCTCTCTGTGTCTACAAATGTGAGGCTCTAGGGGGCCTGGGTCAGTGGAAATCACACAGTACTCCTTTGAGATGGGCCTGTGTCACTGCACAACACCCTCACTGTGCACCCACGCTGCAGCACATGCAGAAATCCCCTTCCTTTCTGGGGCCACATGATGTTCCTCATATGCACAGACCGCATTCCATGTGGCCATCAGAGCTGCCGCTGGGCACCACGCTGTGGCAGACGGCTCTTGGGCACGCTGCTCCGACTCTCCTGGGTCCGCGCCCGGCAGTGGGGTAGAGCTGCTGGCTCCCACGGCAGCTCTATTTTTAATTTTTGAGGCTCTGCCACAGTATGTTCACACGTGACTTCTAGCCCTGCAAATGGCAAGTCCGACGAGGAACTGCTTTATAATTTAACTAATTTAAATAGCTACATGCCTCTCATGACAACTAAACTGGCCAGCGCCAAATCCTAGCCCAGCCCCCTTTTACAAACTGGGGAGGCGTCCCCCACCCCCAAAACACCACTGGAAATGGTCAGGCCAAGGAGGCCTGGACTATCACCCTGAAAGCTCACATTCCCTCCGTGATGCATATTGGATACCCAGTCCCCAAACAGACCGCGACCCTAGGCCTGGGGAGCAGGCTGCACGTTTCCCAGTACCCGTCATCTCCAAGCTCCTGGAAGCCCAAGGCTGTGGCTCATTCAGGGGTATCCCCAACCCTCAGTCCAGGGAGGAGCACAAAGCAACTACCCAAGAAACATCTAGCCCAGCACCGTGACACACGCCTGTGATCCCAGCAACTCTGGAGGCTGAGACAGAGGATGGCAAGTTTGAGTCCAGCCTCAGCAACTTAGCAAGACCCTGTTTCAAAGTAAAAATAAAAGGGCTGGGGTGCAGCTCAGTGGGTGAGTGCCCCTCCATGGATCAATGACATGTGGCAAATCCCTGCAATGGAGCTTCCGCAGCCACAGAGAGGAAGAGAGCACTGGCCGGTGCCACACCTGGGTGGCCCCAGAGACACCGCTCTTGGTGGAAACCACCAAGCTGCGTGGCTCGTGCCTCCACGCACACGAACCGTCCCCCACGGGTGACTCGAGAGATGGAAAGCGGATTCACGTTGCCAGCGGCTGGGGGGTGGGGGGAGGTACTTTCTGAGTATGGAATATGAGGTGAGAAAATTCTAGAAGTACACAGAGGTGATGGCTGAGAATAAACGCCTGGGACTGCACCTGAGGGGTGGCAGAGGGGCAGGAGGCATCTCTAGCGGAGCTGGACCACAGAGCTGGACCACAGCAGCCAGCTGACGGGGCAGAGGACAGCTGAGGCTCACGTGCCCACACTCAGGCCCGACGTGTGGCAAGCCCCGTCCCGGCAAGCAGCCTGTCACCTCCCAGCAAGGTAGGTTCCCCTTCTGCTCTCAGGCCCACCTGCCGCTCCCTCCCTCCCCAGGCACCTGTTTTCCCAGAGTCTAAGGCGGGTCCAACTTGAAGAGAAGGCGGCTGCCATCAGTGGAGCCCAGGCCAGTCCCACCTGCCCCCCACCCCAGCGCCCACCAAGGACGGCAGAATCAAGTCACCCCTGTAGTGGGGAGGGCTGTGGGCCACACACCTGGCAGAGGTGCCCAGGAAACTCAAGGCCTTCTGGGGTCTCGCACCTCATGCCAGCAGGCTTGCAGGCCAGACCTGGGAACCAGCACCAGGGGACGCCCTCCCACCCCTGCTGGTCTGGCTGCTCTGAATCCCAGGGGAGTCCACCAGCCTCCTGTCCACACAGCCCCAGGGGCCAAACGCAGAGCCAGCTCTGTCAGGCAACAGCCTCAGCTCCAAGGAAACATCTAGAAGCTGCAGGGTGACAACCAGGGTGACGCGTTTGCCCTGTCTCACGCCCAGGCATGCAACCCCTGCAAACCCGGGAGCCTCCCCCCAGACACCCCCCACACCGTGCTCAATAACTGCCCGAGGAGGGCAGCAGAACACAAAGCCAGCCTGCCCCGGACACCTGCAGGGCCCACCAAATGTCAGGGCAGTGGGGACACTGCACCCAGAGACAGCCTCTCACCCACCTGCCAGGCCTCCAGGGGCACTGCAGCCAGCGTCCTCCGGCAGGCTGGCCCTCTGTCAGCAGAGGGGCACACAGGAGAGGGCACACAGGAGAAGCCACCGCTGCCTGGAGCTCACCCCCAGGGACTATGGGCAAGGCTGCCAGGGACATCGTCTGCCTGCAGCTGCCTGGCCTGCAGTGAGCCCCGCGGAGCACCCGACTGCAGAAAGGATGTCACACCCCATAAACATGAGATGACCCCTGTCCCCCGCAGAGGGACTTCTTAAAGGTGGCCGTGACCTGGGCACAGGAATGGTGACCAGAGCTGCTGCTCCCTCTTCTCTCACCTCCCCGGTGAGAGAACTGGCTCTGCAGGCCGTGGGCTCTCTCCAGGCCTCTCCTGGGCTTTCCCACCTGGATTTCCCTGACCCCTAAGAAAAGGCACCTGAGCCCTGGCCAAGGGCTGGCCAGTGCTCCCAAGCTCTCCCAGCCTGATGAGGGCAGACCCTGGTGCACCAGAGGTTCCGGGCCCCCAAACAGGAGGCCAAGCAGGCCCGGTGCCCTGTCAACGCTCCCAGGGACCCACGCCCCAAGTAGACAGCAAAATGTCCATCCTCATCCGGAAACTGCACCTCCAGGAGCTCACCCCAGGTCGGGCTGACCAAACCCAAAGGCCCAACTCAGATGACTCCCTCTTCTGGTATGAGAGTGGGTGGAGGGAGGAGCCGGCAGGAACCAGCTCAGGAAAGAGGTGAAGGAGAGACGGGGAGAGCCATGGGGCTAGACACCAGACCTGCGCCAGGCGGCAGACCTGGAAGGAACTGCCCTGGAGGAGTGGTAAACCAACAGCTATAAACAATAACGGGAGAAAACCATCCCGGGCCCCAGTGGGACAGGACCACAAACTTAAGTGTTTTGTAAATATCTGTCACTTCCTTCCTTCCTAATAATAAACCAAAAGATGGCGTCAGACGTCAGTCGCTCTCTATCGCTGTGACCGAATACCCAAGAGCCACAACTAAATGGGTGGAAGACTCATTTGGGCTCAGTTTCAGTCCACGGGCAGCCAGTTCCTTTGCTCTTGGCCCCACAGGAGGCAGAGTCTCAGGGTAGGGTGGGTGTGGCAGGGCAGAGAGGGAGGGGCTAAGGTAGGACACGCCCCCAACCAGGCCCCACCTCCTCCTACAGTTTCCACCATTAAACTGTGACTCCATCCATGGGTTGATCCCTTGGTGAGGCAGACCCCTCAGGATCCAATCACTTCCATAAAGCTCCACCTCTGTACTCTGGACCAGGCCTGGGGACACTGAACACCCAGCCCAAGACTTGAGATCAGGCTGAACGAAAACAGAGGCGGTGCACGGCACCATGGTCATTCGCTCGCAGGCAGGCTGCCTGTTGTGTTGGTTCTTCTGAGGCGCTGGGGAGGGAATCCCTGGCCTCACACCCGCACGCAGGGCTCCGGCACCAAGCTCCATCCCCAGGCCCCCGAAATTCATGCATTTGAAGATCCATCAGCCAAGCCTTCCAGATGATGCAAGTCCCTTCCAGGTAAGGTGGTCACAGAGGTGCTGGACCTGTGTGTCACCAACTTTATAGAAGCTGATGGAGGGAAAGGACCCTTCAGGGAATGGACAAAGGACACACACACACACACACACACACACACACACGGATATCTGGGCAATTCAGAGGGGCCCTCCAGGCGCCCTGGGCCTGTGAATGAGCCACCAATTTAAAAAACCAACGTGGCCTAAGGGGAATTTAGGATTGAACCGGGTTATCTATCCCTGGATTAAGCTTCAGCACTTGATGAAGTTTTATCAACACACACTAAGTAGTCTTGTGTCCCCGGCTGGAGAAGGACAGGAACATGAAATGACGAGAGGTCAAGGGCCAGAGAAGAAGTCCAAGAAGCGCAGGGGAGAGGGAAAGGCTGGGCTCCCGCCAGCTGGGCTGCATCCCTGGGCCTCCGAGGCTGGCGCCTGGGGTGGGCAGAGGTGGGACTGCCGCTCTCCGGAGGGCTCTGGAGCCGGGGTCTGTTCTCATGTTCTCAACTCTGCTTGTCACTGAGCCGCGTCCCCATGAACGACCCAAGCCACCCCAAGCTCCTCGTAAATGTCACAAGGGACTTCCTGTTCCTTTCTAAAGATGGAAACACTGAATATAAATAAGCGAATTTTGCAAACTTGCACAGGCCGGGATGGGGCCGGATCGGCGCCGGATCGGCTCACACGCGGCTCACCTAACGCGGTAAGTAGCTCCACTTGGAACCACACTTCTCACTTTGTCGGGGCGGGAGGTGTCTCCCTGGAGCTGGCTAGGAGCTGGCAAGCCAGAAACCGAGCCTCTGCCCCCACCGGAGACTGTGTGGAAATCCAACACAAAAGCCCAGAGAGAGCCGGGCCTGCCAGTGCAGGAGGCTGCGCCCAGCTGGGGACTGGAAACTAAATCAGGGATGTGTTTTCGTGAGCGGGTTCTCCTTCTCAGGAGCAGGAGTGGCAGTGTGGGAAGGCCGAGGCCCCCAGTGGCCCCATGCCCTCGGCAGGACCCGGGAGGGGCAGGGTGGCCAGGCTCTGCCCCCACACAACTCTTCCTTTGTTCAGGGGCCCAAGGCGCCCCACTTTCCCCACTCCCACTGCCAGTCTGGCCGCCCCCTGCTCTTCCCACCAACCCTCTCCTCCATTGTCACAAGGAGCCTGCAATTCCGCCAAGACAGTTTCACTGGCCCAGTGCACAAAGTCACATTTGGACCAAGTCCAAGGCGCGGCCCCACCCCCTCCCACCCCCCCACCCCCAGGGCTCCCTTTCAGTTCTGCCTCCTCCTTCCTCCTCCGGGGCCCCTCCTCCTCCTCCTGGGGAGCTGCTGAGGATTGAGACATCAATCCTGGGTCAGAACAGGCTGCAACCTGCAAGCCATCCCCAAGCACTTCCCCAAAGTCATGAGGCCACGCAGGAGCCCTGACTTCCTGTGTCAGGGATCCACTTTGCCTCTCGGTTTTCCACTGCCCCCCCCCTCCAGCTGGGGCGGGACGGGAATGCCCCCCACGCTCCCCTCTCCCGGGGAGCAGGGAATCCACGCAGCAGCTGCACCCCACAAAGCGCACCCAAGACCCGGCCCCCACCAGGCTGACCCCATCCAGAGGCTGCCATCCAGATTCCTGCAAAGTTCAGAAAAGAAGAGTCCCCAACACCCCACCCCCATCCTGCCAGCAAAATGGTGGCAACTGGCCATTTGTTACAGGGTGGAATTTCCTCTTATCAGGGATGTCCCCCTAGGGGAGGGGGCTGGGGCCGGGCCTCCTCCTCCTCTCCCCAGACCCTCTCCTATCAGCGTGGCTGCTAGCAGATACACACCAGAGCCCCGTGGTGAGACCGGCCTGAGGTGACCCAACGGCCGGAGGTGACCCAAGGCAGACCAGGGTCTGAGGGGCACCGCAGTTTGTCCCCTGGCAGGACCTCAGCAGACAAGGGCCTTTCCCCAAAGACACCAAGCAAGTCCCTTCTGCACAGACGGGCCCACACTGCCTGAGGCTTCCTGAGGCCCAGGTCACTTCAGAGAGGCTGGGGGCTGAAGGCTGGACCTTCAGGGAGGGGCCCATTCCTGGGCTGTGAGTGGGAGCCTGACCAAAGACCCCCTAAGGAGGGAGAAAGGTGTCTCATACAGCCCTCGGATTGTGTCAGAGGGCCCAGGAGGGGTGGGTGTAGGGGCGGTCACCTGCCCAGGTGGCAGTAGCTGCAGACTGACCACTGAAAGAGCCGGGTGGGTCTCTCCCGCCTCAGGACTGGCCTGCGGTGCTGCCCTCGGTTCCCTATGGGGCCCTCGGCCTCCTGTCACCTCCCAGCTGGCTGCTGGCTTCCTGCACGTCTGAAAGACCCTCGCCCAGGGCCACTCCAGTCCCCCTCAAGGGGAGCCAAGCAGCCAGTGGGTGAGCCAGAGGCCGAGAGAGCCTGTGAAGCGTTCCCCCAGCACAGAGCTGGCAAGTCCAAAGGCCTGAGGCAAGGAGGGGGGTCAACCTGGGCAGCTGAGTGGGCAGGAGGGAGGTGAATGAATGAGTGGACGAGGGGCGGAGAGGTGGGGGAGTGGGCAGACGTGTCATCGGGTAGGTGGATGGATGGGGATGGAAGGGTTGTGGATGGAGGGATGAATGAGTGGGCAGATGAGTGGATGGACAGGTAGCCTACCCAAGGAATCTCAGAAACACATCACCGCAGGCTCTCCCCCAGCTGCGGGGCACCGTGCAGTCAGACACCTTCATCACCTCTGGGACGCCCAGGAGAAAAGGCCGCAGACAGGACGTCCTGGCGCCCACGAGCCAGGAACGAGCAGGTGGCGCAGCCTGACCCGGTAGGAAGTTGAGCCGCACCTCTGGATTGGAGGTTCTGACCAGGCAGAGCTGCCAGTCCTCTGGAGGTGGAGGACACGGGCCTC